TATAACCTATGGATATGAAATGGAAAGTAACCTTTAAAAAAAAAACAAAAAGACGGTAAAGATGAGAAAAGATCATCATTGATATTTTCATTTTTATTCATGTCATGATCTGCGCACCTTTTTTATTAGCCAACAAAATAAAATTTTTATTAAGTGAGTACAAGGGTACTCAAATCTGTACAAGTAATTCAGCAATGATCAGACAACAAAACCCAATTAATACAACCTGGCCTCACCATTGAGACAGCACAAACCAACTGGAAGTATAGATTAATTTCCTGCAGCTTCCAGTGCTTCTCTAGGTGGACTGCTCCATGATCTGGGTATGTTGATAGAAAGCTTTGCATTGATTGCTTAATTCAGTGCTAATCTCGCTAAAACTAAGCAATTTTTTAGCTTAGTGGAGATTATTGCTCAAAATACATTTTGAATTGAAACAGAGTTTTTATGACTATGAATTTGAAAAGGCTAAATGTCAATTTTGGTTTCTCAAAATTTTTATACATTTTTTAATCCATTAATTGTGAAAAATGTACAAATTTAGTTTTTTCGTCAATTAACTCATTAATTATATTCATCTATGCACGTTTTTATTTCTTGAACTTTTAAGTTGAGAGACAAAATTTATGCAAAATCCTAAAATTAAAGAATTAAAAATGTATATATATAAAATTTAATATACTAACTGATAGAATGATTAAAAAAGTATATTTTTCATAATTGAAGGATAAAAAATGCATAAAAACATTGAGGAACCAAAATTGTGTAACTCTAAAGTTGAGAAACCAAACTTTGCATTTAACCATTTGAAAAATAATACGAATAATGTGTTAACAAATTAAGTTGGTGGGGATTGTGGAGTCTTCCTTTGGAGTGTGTTCTGCCTTTACATGTGTATGATGAATTTGTTTGTTGAGAGCAACGTTTGGTACAAAACCCATTTCAAAGTACATCGAATTTAATTTTATCAACCTAACATGAAAGCAACTTTATAATTTATATTGTAAAATGTATTTGGAACTAACTTTGTTCTCAAAATGTTTTCACTAAGCTAACTCTTTTTCTAGCTAAGCTAACTTTATTCTCAAATGATAGCGTGCAACTTGAGGCAGATACCATACGTGCGGTGGCGGACCTATGTTGGGGAAGGGTACATAATGGGCAAGGCTGGAAAAGCAAACAATATGAATGGGCTTAACGGCCAATCAAGCCCATTTTGCATTAACCACATTAAGCTACCCGAGCCCATTCGTTGTTGCGCTGGCTGCCGAATTGCCTATCTACTAGCAAAAGGCTTCATTTTGACCTACAATCCGATTCGGGGGGAAATGAAATGACTCAAATGAGCCTCTAATTCTTTTTCGGAGGAGTAGTTGCTTAGACATCGAGGAAATCCACGAAGTTATGCTTTCCATGGAAAGACCATCCAAGAAAAAAAAAAGGACAAAAAAGATGAGTCATTTCTTTCATGAAAACCATTGACTATATATAAATTATTAGAGACCGCCTATATGTTTGAAGAATTTCTTGTAGACTGCCTATATGTTTGAAGAATTTCTTGTAGACTGCCTATATGTTTGAAGAATTTCTTGTGTAGGAGATTGAGTGATATTGCCATCTTTCTTTTGGAATGCCTGGTTTTGTCTCATACACTTACTTGGGTTTGTCCTTTTTTCTTTTTCTTTTTTTTTTCTTTTTTCTTTTTTATTTACGTTTTTACCGTTACTCAGAACAGCACGATTTGTGATTGTATATTCTTTCTCATGTTTCTAAAGTGAGTAACCCATGTTAAGAATACTTCATTCAATTCTTGTGTTGGTGCTGCAAGCTTTGGAGGGTGTAAACAATGACTTCAATACCCTGTAAGATCATATGGATAAAGAGGTAGCAGTGCCCTTATGGAGATTGGAAATATTACTAATTAACATATGAAGGAGATACTGATGAAACATCCCAAATGGCTAAAGCATGTGATTATTCAGATTACCGCTGCTTATGGGATTTTTGTTCAGTTTTGTTATTGCAGCTGCCAGCTAATTTCAAGGATCTTCTTTTCATTTAAACTTTAAACCACCAAATGAAAAGTCAGTTTGCCTCTGTTCAACCAATTACGGAGCCTTCAAGTGGTATTTTCTAGGCCTACATTACCATACCTTATGCCTCTCTATATAAATGTACTAGATAAGTATTACCACACCATCATCAGTTTTCTTCCCTACTTTTTTTTTTCTTGTTTAAAATTTCAATATTCTCTAGGTTCCACCTAAGTGTATTACAATTTAAATAAGTTTTTCAACAAGGAAAAAGGACATATTTTTTAATTTTCATTGAGTTTCTTAAATCACAATTAATATTATATTCTTATTGATTTATGTATTGAATTTTAAGCCGATAAACTCGGAAAAGGTGTTTGCTATTTTTTTTCTTATATATTTAACTATTTTATGACGTTATTATGGATAACAAAAAATCAAACAGAGTTGCTGAAAGCGGAGAGGTGATGCTTTGTAATATATCACAAGAACATGAAGAGAAATACACTCGTAAAGAAAACTACATAAGATTTTAGAAAAATATACTCCCAAAATGACTGGCCTTTCTGCCACATCTCATCCAAACATTGATAGTATGCATACCTCCATTGCCTACTAATTAAAAGAGGACTCAATACACTCCAAAATCCAAAAATAAATCCAAGTGCCATGCTAACAAACAACCAATTCACTTTATCTCTACCCATATCTTTCCCCACATTATTTCCAGTGCCAGGTACTCTTTGATTAACTTCGTTGCAGTTCTTCATTAGTGGAAGGCCACAAAGTTCATTTCCACCATAACAAGATGCATCAAAGCTCTGCAACTGAGTACCTAAGGGAATTTTTCCAATCAATTGGTTGTCAGAAAGGTTCAAGTAGCTTAGAAATGACAATTTGGACATGCTTTCAGGGATTGACCCAAGCAATTTGTTTGCAGAAAGATCAAGAGATTCTAGTGAACTCATGTCACCAATATTTGGAGGGATCCTTTTAGTGAAATGGTTGTGTGACAAATTCAGTGATTGCAATCCCTGAAGCCTAGTTATTTCCCAAGGAATATCTCCATATAAACTATTATCTGACAAATCAAGGACTCTTACCAAATTAAGAGTCCAACCATATTCATAAAATTGGCTTTTCATCACAAGAAATAAATTCTCAATAAAATGTCCGACAGGGTAGCTAATGTAGTTCCTGAATGACCCATTTGCAGAATAAAGCATGGCACTTAAGTTACTAACGCAACTTGGTAAGCTTCCTGAAAGACTATTACGAGCAACGTCTAAGATCTGGAGAAAATTGAGTGCACACAACTCTCTAGGTATATGCCCTGAAAACTTATTTGAACGGAGGCTCAAGATTGTCAGGTATGGAAGATTACGACCCATCCATGATGGGATGTTCCCAACCAATTCATTTTCACCAAAATCAAGGGTTTGCAAAATTGTACAATTCCTTATGGACATAGGAAATTCTCCTGAAAGGTTATTTTTACGAAGATGCAATGATCTAAGGAATTGTAGAGTTCCTATGGAGTTCGGAATTTTACCTGTGAAACTATTGTTTTCTAATACAATGACCCGTAAATTTGGCCACCTGGACCAACAATCTGGTAACTCTCCAGACAAAAAATTGTTGCCAAGATTGAGAGTAAACATTCCAATTGTGGTTTCATTGACCCCAAGACACAAAAAGTTGAAAAGGGAACCTGATAAAAGATTATTGGAAAGGTCTAAGACAGTCAAATAGGAGAAGATTTGAGATATTGGATCATTGAAGCTATAAATACTTGGAAGTTGTCCATGAATTTGATTTTGAGAGAGATTCAAATAGCTCAAATGATGGGACGAGTCCAAAAACCAACTAGGGATAGTGCATGTTATTCCAGAGTTTGAGATATCTAAATATGTTAGGTGTGTTTGAGAAGAAAGCCAATGTGGAAATTGTGGTCCTAAATGCCAAGAGCTTAATCCCAACTCTCGAATTTGAAAAGGAGGAATCCAATCAAGCTCAACCTTCAAAATCAGTGGGTTCCCATTTGCAATTAAAACTAACAATTTTGTGAGGTTCAAAAGGTGTTTCTCAAGAAGAGTACCTTCCAAAAAATTATTTGATATATCAACAACTTCTAAATTGGAAAGTTGACCAAATGACTCAGGAAAGTTTCCTTTGAATTTGTTATGAGAGAGATATAAAATTTTCACGGATGAAAGCTCTCCTATGAATTGTGGTATTGAACCAAAGATAGAGTTTCTAGACAAATACAACTCTCTCAAAATTTTGAAGTTCCCTAGTTGGTTGGTTAGTTGTCCATAGAGCTGACAATTATCCAAGAACAATGACTCTAATTTATTAGAAACACATACAGAAAATACTTCTAAGACATTTGATATGTCTAGACTCAAATTAACACCAGAGAAAGAGAGTGACCTCAAGTTGCAAAGATTTCCTATTGATCTAATTGGGATTCGACCTTCAAAACTATTATAGGATAAATCAAGGTCAACAATAGAGTTCATTTTTTCTATCTCACTTGAAATTTGACCTTTCAAATCATTAGAGTGAAGATCTAGAGACTCAAGAGGAGCAAAAGTGTACAACCAATTAGGTATTGAAGAATTGAAATAATTGTATGACAAATCAAGGTGCTTCAACAAAGTCAAATTTCGAAATCCATAAGAGATTGGACCCTCAATATCAGTATTAGATAGATCAAGGGAAATCAGGTTCTGGAGACCAAAAACCCAATTGATCACTGACAAGTTTTGGAAATAATTCATAGAAAGAGAAAGGGTAGCAAGAGATAATAAATTTACACTTGCAATGGGATTGACCTGATAGGGAAGTTGACAGTATGACAAGTGTAATTCTACCAAAGAAGGAAGTGTATTTAATGCATGAAACCAATCGGAGGCTTGGCTAAGGTTCACATAACTCAAATCAAGATACTCCAATGAAGAAAGACTAGACAACCAGTGGAGATTCTTAACATACATGGAGTAATTATTATTCCCAAGATTGAGATACTTCAGATTAGAGAGATTCCCAAGATGGTGAGGAACCTCCCCTCCAAAATTTGCACTAGAAAGGTTAAGGTATCTTAAACTCCCCAAAGAACCAAAAAACTTGGGAATGTGAATTCCTCCAAAATCATTGTTGCTAAGATCCAAATACCTCAAATGCTTCAAATGGAGCAGAGAAGGACTTATCTTACCACCCAGCCTCGATCTCTCATAAGCGTCATAAGCCTCATAATCGTACACATAGTCATCGACCTCCCATGGAGTAGTTCTGAGGTGGAGTTCAATGACATGACCAGTCATGTTGTCGCAGACAATTCCCGTCCATCTACAACAATCTCCATCGGAAAGCCAAGAGGCCAATCGGTTGGTGCGATCCACAATACCTTGCTTGAACTTCAAAAGGGCTTCTTTCTCGCTATCAATGCAGACCGCATGAACAGAGTTGCCATTGCAAATGCCAATAATGGTAACATAAGTGATCAGAATGAGAAAGGCAAGGAAAAGAAAGATAAATCGAGCCATTGAATTCTGAATCGGAAAGCAATTAATGGCTATGGAAATCCAAGAGAGGCAATGTGGTATTTATACATGTCATTTCCCAGAAATTGCAATGCTATTTCCATACCCAATTAATATTGCAGTGCATAGACAAACAATAAAATGAATAATTATTTTGTCCTCCTATTAGAGAAAAGAATAAGTGGTCCACGTGTATAACGTGATGGGCTCTCCACCATAGAAAATAAACGTATGGTGTGGGACGACTTCTACCAAATCATGATGGGCAGAAGGTGCAATTTAGCCCCTCTACTTAACTTGTTGTGGCCTGTCAGT